AACTCAATAATAGGATTTTGGAAAATGACAGCTTTAAAATGGAAATTAAGGAAATTATACAAACATATTGGAGGCGAGCTCAATTAACAAATTCATATAGCCAAAACTGGGAATTTATGAAGTATAAGATAAGATTAATTGATATGAAAAGAAGTAAAGAAGCTGCACGCTCTAATAAAATAAAGGAAGAGGAAGTTATTAAGGCAATTTGTGATCTTACTGATGACAGCAATACTAATCAAACAGATGCTTGTAAATTAATTGGACTGCAAGCTGAACTGGACGAACTATACATGGAAAAAGCAAAAGGAGCTTTTTTTAGATCCAGGAGACGATGGTTGGAGGAAGGCGAAAAAAACTCAAAATACTTCTATAATTTGGAAAAAAAGAATGGAGATTATACATCTCTTAGTAAACTTAACATAGATGGCTGTGAAACTCAAAATCCTTTAGAAATTTCAAGATATGTATCAGATTTTTATGGTAAGTTATATACTAGTAAGGCATGTTCTACAGATAAAATGTGTGATTTTCTGAACTCATTAAAAGAAGACTTTAAAACTATAGACGAAGGGTTTAAAGCCATCTGTGATAAAGAGATATCCATCTCTGAAATTAAGAAAGTTATTGATAAGCTCAAGGTTAACAAATCTCCTGGTAATGATGGCCTTACCACTGAATTTTATAAAACCTTTCGAGATGATTTGGCTGAACTTCTTCTTCTGGTGTTTAAGGAGTCAATTGAAAAGGGAGTTTTACCAACCTCGATGACTCAGGGCTTAATAACCATAATTCCAAAACCAGATAAAGATCATTTGTTGATAGATAATTGGCGGCCTATCACTTTGATTAATAATGATGGAAAGATTCTTGCTTCTATTTTTGCAGAGAGACTGAAAACAGGCCTTGACTCAATTATTGATGAGTCACAATCAGGTTTCATGAAAGGAAGACATATATGTAATAATATTCGTTTGGTGTTGGACCTTGTACACTATGGTGAACTTATTAGTCAGGATAGCTTTATTCTATTTGTGGACTTTTATAAGGCTTTTGACACAATTTAACATTCTTTTATTTTTGAAACTATCATTTTTTTTGGCTTTGGTGAGTATTTTCAAAAGGTAATTAAAACTTTGTACAATCAAGGTAACAGCTCTGTTAAATTGGCTCTTGGAACTTCTCATAGATTTAGAATTGGTAGGGGAATTCGACAAGGATGTCCCATAAGCCCATTCTTATTCCTGCTGGTCACACAAGTTATGGCTATTCATATAAAAAAAGATGTGTTTCAGGGTATTCAAATACAGGATAGAGAAATTAAGTGTTCCCAATTACCTGATGACACAACTCTATTTTTAAGAAACCATGCAGAGATTAAGAAGG